CTATGGACCACAGCTTCCACTTACCATCCAGTGGACTGTGTGCTCATTTGTCACCTGTATTCTATAAAAAACGGGTGCTTATGGAAAATGAGTTTCCTCTGAGTTTGTGCCTTACTATTACTACAGAATCTCTAAAATATCTCTCTATCTATCAGATTTGATAGCTTCTCCATCAGCTCTTGAAAAACCACTGCAGGGCAGGCGCCTCTCCCGTTGGAGGGAAGATTTGGGTAACACATGTGAAACTCATTCATTTCTAGTGACCCGATCATTCAAGAACATATTGAATCGTCTTACGAACCGGGCCATTCCAGTCGATCATTCAGAATTCAAATGGATCATTTCGAGTTTCAGTACACTGTGATCTGTGAGAACCGTTCGATAATGTCGGTTGTTGTCGTAGGTTGTCCTTACAATCGTTTGATCAGGAACGTTCAAAAAATGTAATTGCAATCATTGTTACTTTTAACGCGACTTGTGCGCGATTTTTTTTTTTACTTTATAGACTACAGCAAAACCTTTGACAGTATCAACCATGGTTTCATCTGGAATGCATTAAAAACGTCAAATGTAAACGATAAATACATAAACATCATAAAATATATATACCTAAATAGTACAAGCAGGGTTAAACTTGAAAGGAGAGGTGACCAAATAAAAATAGAAAGAGTAGTCAGGCAAGGCGATCCTTTGTCGCCGAAACTTTTCATCGCAGTGTTGGAAAATATATTTAAAAAGTTAAATTGGACAAAATATGACATTAAAATTAATGGCTGTCGTTTAAATCATCTTAGGTTTGCAGATGACATAGTCATATTTTCCGAAACAGCTAAACAACTTAAGGATATGCTACACTCACCAGACCAAGAAAGTTCAAAAGTAGGTTTGGAAATGAATATAAACAAGACTAAAATAATGACCAACAGTCACAACGTACCCATCAACGTAAAAGGAACACGGACAATATAGAATACGTAGAAAATTACATTTACTTGGGGAAACAAATATCCTTCATGAAAACCAACAACGTAGTTGAAGTAGAAAGAAGAAAAAACATTGCATGGAGAAAGTTTTGGTCACTAAAAGAAATTTTAAAAGGAAATTACAGTATAAAAATAAAGAGTATTGTAATGGACACCTGCCTCTTACCTAGTCTATTATATGGCTGCCAGACTTGGACATATACAAACAAAGTGAGACAGAAAATATATACAACACAGAGAGCAATGGAAAGGAGCATCTTAAATATAAATAAAATACATAAAGTCAAAAACAATATAATAAGACAAAAAACAAAAATAACAGATGCACTCACGCACGCTTTAAGGTTAAAGTGGAAATGGACAGGACACATATCACGATACCAAGATAATAGATGGACAATACAAACCACACGATGGAAGTGACCAGTATCTGGCAAAAGGAAAGTTGGTAGACCACATAAACGGTGGGCCGATGACATAATACAGTATGCAGGAAAAGATTGGATGAGCAAAAGTATAAATAGAGAAATGTGGAATCAGATGGAGGAGGCCTTTACTCAAAATGGGATCCATATCTCTGAAAATATACACAGTTAATCGTACAAACAATAACTAATATGAAATAAGCTAATAATACTAACAACAAGTACTAATCAACATGGAAATGTAAAATGTAGAAACGTAGGGATAAGGAATAAAGAGGCTTTATTATTATTATTATTAGTTGTCCGTGAGCCGTCCGTTCACCGACAACACGCCCCCAAAATTACGATTCATTTTCAAGGTATCCTCTTAATTGCATTTTTTAGTGCTGGTTTACCAAGTGCTCGGCGGCGAAGGGAAACATCATGAGGAAACTTGCGTGTCTGAGAAATAAAATAAAATTCGAAGACATGTGAATACTGTCAACAGACAGCAGCGCGGCGGACACTTCCCTGCCCCCTAAACCCTTTCAGATATGAGAGGAGGCCTGTCCGCAGCAGTGGGACGCATGTATATTGTAACTTGAACTGTATTATAATTATTAGGGTTGTCCGGTGACAATTAGGATATAATTAGCCAATATTTTGAGATGGGCAGCAGCATTTTGGATAAGAGCTGAATAAAAATAATCAACTGCGATTGCCAACCCGCAAATATCCCCCCTATGGGCTATGTATGGGGTAGGCTTATGTTCAACTGATTTAATTAAAAAACTTAAATTTTTTCACATAAAAGTCTTATAAAATTCGATAGAAACTTATTTTCAGTGCTTTCTGATTTTATCAAATTATTTTCAATTATTAATAATAATTTCAACAATACTTTTAGATTCGCGGGGTTTTGAAATTCGAAAATGCGCCCCAAAAATTATTTTTATCAACATTGATTGATGCAACGAGAAAAATGCAGCTTATCAATAATCCTATAATTATATTAAAATAAATTTTGTTAATATTTATTTTATATATAACTTATCTTACTCTTATAAAATACTAAACCTCGTTTTTTTTGTTTATTTAAACAATTTTCATGAAGCTACATGCATGCCATTTCGCAATTCGGCTTAAAATAGTATCTACTAACACTACGATACAAAGCGGCATGCAAGAAGAAGTCACGGCATTTTCAGTTTTTTGTTTCAATTGAAAAATCGATGTTTATTTAATTTTTCCACAATTTTGGTATGTTGGGCTGTAGCTACATGCATGCCATTTACGTTCACGACTTGAAATAATGTAAATTCATGAAATACAAAACGGCATGCAAAAACAAGTCACCTAAATTTGCACAGTGTTTTTGGCAACTTTCGCCATGCATGCCTCTATTTTGCAACATCCTGGTGTGCATGCCAAATTTCCTACTATTAAATAATGATACAAATTAAGTATACTTTCAATAGCTTCCGTAAATTTTTCACCGTTGGTCATACGAGGGGTGCATGCCAATTTTTCCAGAGTGTTTTATTACAAAAACTTCCATTCTTTACATCGGCATGCGATTTGAAAACACGGAATTGCCCTTTAATTTTTTCAGGTTTTCAGAACCCTTTGATCATCTTAGGCCGCTGCGGGGTGCATGCCATCAATTATTAGAGCTTCAATTTGCTTCAACTTCCGTATATTACAATGGCATGCAGTATACTATCACGGAAAAACACGAAAATTCGCTACACAAAGAAAAGCGCTTTTCCTTATGAAGAGGACGCGCGGGGGGGGGGGGGCTAAAGCCCCGACAATCTTTGATATTTTGGGGTTAGTTATCAAGCCTTAAAAAGGCATGCACGGCAAAATCGTGGAACGTCACCTGTCACCAGCTTCCGGTCTATATACTATGGTTGTAGCACGAATGGGTCGGCTCGACCGGGTAAGAATCACGCTCTCACAGAATACCAGCGTAAAATAGCAGCGTAATACTGCTATGTTTCGTATGGTGAGTGTAGAGATCCAAAGATCCCTTTTTACTGGAAACGAGGCATTCCATCTTAGTCCTCAGGTGTGACAACGCATCTGCGTTATGATTCTTAATTGAGGATAGATGTAGATGTCTATGGGACACAGCATCCACTTACCATTAGGTGGACTGTGTGCTCATGTCACCCTCATTCTATAAAAAAAACGGGTATTGATGGCAAATGAGTGTCCTCTGAGTTTGTGCCTTAGAACCGAATCACTAAAATATCTTCTGCAGATTTAATAGCTTCTCAATCAGCTCTTGAAAAACCACTGCTGAGCATGCGTCTCTCCCATTGGAGGGAAGATTTGCGTAACACATGTGTAACTCATTCATTTCTAGTGACCTGATCATTCAAGTGGTAAAATGGATCATTTCGAGCTTCAGTACTACGTGATCTGTGAGAATCGTTCGATAATGTCAGTCGTAGGTCCTTACAACCGTTTAATCTGGAACGTTCTAAAAATATAATTGCAATCATCAATACTTTGGGTGCGACCCGGGACAAAATGAACGAATCGTTAATGATTGACACATGTCTAATATGCGTTGATAGTCACGATTTTCAAGTGGAGACGAGCGCAGTACCGAATGTAATTTTGTTTTTATGCTAATATACTCGTAAATGGCTAAAATCACGGTCAACCTTGACCAATAATACGGCATGTTAAGGTCAAATAAGTATATTATTTTTATTATTGTACACTGTATAATGATAAAAGTATAATAAAGCCTTGGTAGCTTAGAGGATTAGCGCTTGCTGTAAATTTTACAGTACGCGAGAAACCCGGGTTTGATTTCCGAATCAAATTGTTAAGGGGACTACAGGAGCTTAACGCAAGTTTTATGTTGACTTAAAGTATATGATCCAATGCAGTAAACTAAATTAGAAAAATATATGATATTTTTTAGTATATATGCTAGTTAGATACTGTGTTGAAAACATGATACTACTAATTTGATACGATAGAAAAAAATCATAAAGATGCCTCTAAAAATTAGTTTTATCGAGTAAAAACCATAATAATATACATGCAATTATTTTGAGTTTTTGTCAGATTATTCTACAAGCAACATATTAACGTAATAGTGTTTTAATTTTTTAATCAAATTAATAGATTTTGTTTAAAATCGCATTTTCTTATTTCTGAAATAATACGTACGGATCAGTGTTTCCACTTTTAGGGATTTTTCCCTTTTTTAGGGAAAACTAAGTGAAATTGTACATGACTAGGGATTATTTTAATAAGACAGGGATTTAGGGAAATTCGGGGAAAATCAAAACTTATGATGGTAACCCTGTTGTAGTATGTACAAACTCTATGGTGCCACCGCCCGCGGTTTATTTTTGAAAGGGGAATCCCCCGTACTATTAATGAATGTAATCCGTCCAATTTTAATTTGTCATTTATAATATCAGTTCCGTTGTTTTAGATGTAGTCGGAACTTAGTCATATTATGTATACCTACCAAGGCTTGCTTGATTTGATTAGTTTTGTTTCATTTACATACTGAACTCCGAATTGCACCTTGGAATATAAAAAAAAAAATTTTTCTTTTCGATTAAATTGTAAGTAATTTAAAATGGAAGAAGATAATGAAACACCATCCTCTTCGACTTTAAAGTCAGCAAGTAAGGAAAGAAAATACGTGCAAAAATTTAAAACTTCTTGGCTGGAGCATCCTGATTTTAAGACTTGGCTGAAGAAATCTGATAAAGGTGAGACAAAAGCTTACTGTAAAATATGCGATTGTGATCTTGTATGTGGAATGTCCGAATTACTTAAACATAAAAACAGTGCTAAACACACCAAAAAGATGGCTGTTATTTCGCAATGTGGAAGAATGTCAACTTTTTTGAACAAAAATCAGACGCACGCTACTAATGTATTAAAAATGGAATTAAAAATGTGCGGCTTTCTTGCGAAACATGATCTACCAATTTCTTTAGTCGATGATTTTGTATCGCTGTTGCGAAACTTGTTTCCGGAATCGAAATGTTTAGATGACGTGCATCTAGGAAAACAAAAAGCAACAAATATTTTACGTCAAGTCACAGGAGCGACATATAAACAAGAAGTGATTGATATCATGAAGAATAGCTATTTTAATATAATAATAGATGAAACAACAGATCTGTCTGTGAAAAAACAGTTGGCTATTATTATAACATTTTTTAATAGTTTGACAAAAAAAGTAGAATACAGATTTTTTGATTTGATAGATATGATTGATGGAACGGCAAAAGGTATCCTCCAAACAATAAAAGGAAGTTTTTCAAAACATGAAGTACCTCTTGATCATGTCTTCGGACTTACATCAGATACGACGAACGTAATGATGGGAAAGCACAATTCAGTTCAGGCTTTACTAAAAACCGAAATTCCACATCTGGTCGTTATAGAGTGCTCATGCCATTTAATACATCTCGCCACATCATATGCCTCCCGTAAACTACCTAAAAATTTAGAAGATTTGTGCCGTAATATACCTGCATATTTTCATATGAGCCCTAAGCGAACAGAAGCACTCAAACAGTTTCAGGATTTTCTAAAAATTGACCAACATAAATTACTTTCTGCAGCAAATACAAGATGGTTGTCACTTCAAGCTTGTGTCGACAGGATATTAGAGCAGTATGATGCATTGAAATTATTTTTTACGGGGGCAGTTTTTGAGGATCCCTCTAATACAAATGATTCCATCTTGAACAGTCTTAACAACCCATTTAATAAAGCTTTATTACACTTCATGAGTTACGTCTTCTCTATAACTAACGATTTTAATACATTTTTTCAAACAAAATCACCACAATTATTTATACTGCCAGTGATGGTTCGGAAAATGTTGAACACTTTTTTGTGCAACTTTGTCAAAAAGGAGCACCTGAATCTGAGCTCGGATCTAAAGAGCCTTAAGCAAATTGACGTCACTAAAACAGAAATTCACCTCAATAATGATCATATATACGTTGGTATGGAAGCACATGCGATACTTGAAGATTTAAAGACAAAAGCCCCAATAGAAGAAGTGAACAAATTTTATGCTAGTTGTCGTGAATTTTATGTGGAAATAGTATTGCAAATCCAAAAGCGGTTCGACTTGAATGAGAAACTTTTCGACATATTGAAGTATGTGGATCCAAAAATAGCAAGAAATCTGGAGAAACAATCAGTGAAAGATGTTTTTGATAAATTTAACTTTTTAACGACAAAATGCAACATGCAAAAAGCAGATAACGAATGGAGAAATCAAGCTCTTATAGACTTAAAGCATTTTGGAGTTGAAAGCGAAGAAGAATTAAAAAACATGCCAGCTGACATTTATTGGAATAAGGTTCTAAGCATGAAAGATTATCATGGTAATTTCATTTACGAAAATCTTGAAGTAGTTATTTCAGTTTTACTAGCAGTTCCATCTTCAAATACTGAGGTAGAAAGATTATTTAGTATTCTAAAAAATGTAAAAACAGATAAAAGAAATAGACTTTCTAACGAAACTCTGAACGGCTTGTTTCACACAAAGTTCGGAATGCAAGCAAACAATTGCTCAATTTTAGAACCCAACAGTGCCATGATAAGTGCAGCAAAATATTACAAAAGTAATGATTCAGCTTCTAAATCTTCTGTCTGATCTGGTTTTTGGTGATTGATCTTTTGTTGATTTATTAATAAATATTCAAAATAATAAATTATTGTATAATTTCTCGAATAAAAATATGCTCCTTAAAAATAGGAATTTTTAAGATCGTTTAGGGAATTTTAGGGATAAATCCTAAAAAAAATAGGGACAAACCAAAATTGTAAGTGGAAACTCTGGTACGGATGTTGCGTAAACGCCTGTGTACCGACACAGCCGCCGACCCGACACTTCTGGCCGAGGCCCGATGCTATATAGACGTGTCGCTCTTTTTTGCCGCATTACTTACGTAAATATTGTTTAATGTTTTTGTATAATTTTATTTTTAAATTCATTGTTTCATATTCATAAATATTCTTCTTTTCATAAATATTCTTCTTTCGTATAAATATAATATATTTTAAGTTCAGATTAATTTGAATTAAGTTAATAATTATAATTGGTAAATATGGGAAATAAAGTGAAACCCGTTACGAAGACTAAAAAACGTTCATATAATGTCGCCTCTACACGTTGGCCAACACAGTGGCGAATGGAGTGGCGAATATATTGGCCGAGAGTTGGTGACGGCGTCCACACGTTGAAACAGTGTTGCCATATATACAGATTTCCCCGTATTTATACAGATTTTCGGTGTGTGATACAGATTAGCACTGGATACAGATTTTTATACAGAGTTTTCTAACTCTATTGATTGGGTTACCATAATATTCAACTTAAAACAGAACGAAGCAAAATAAGTGACTAATACCGCGATACACACATCACTGCATGATTCTATTCTTTATAGTTAATTAATTTTTTCACAACGTAATTAGTTTGTACGGCAGAATTACAAGTGTATTATATAATATGTATATATAAAATATCTATGACTGAAAATAATAAATTAATTATATGTTCGTTTGTTGCAAATGTTTGAGTTTTAATACGTTGTTTGCTTAAATTAATGTGTTCAATTTTGCTATATAAAAAATTTAGTGTATAGTGTATATTTTATACTTGGTAGAGCCACACGCAATGAGTCAGCTCGACCGGGGAAGGACCACGCTCTCACAGAATACAAGCGTAAAATACCAGCTTAATACTGCTGTGCTTCGTATGGTGAGTGTAGAAATCCGGAGACCCTTTTTTACTGGAAACGTATCATTCCATCTTAGTCCTCAGGCGTGACAACGCATCTGCGTTTTGAGTCTTAAGCGAGGATAAATGTAGATGTCTATGGTCCACAGCATCCACTTACCATCGGTGTACTGTGTGCTCGTGTGTCATCCTTATTCTATAAAAAAAATTTAATAACGATAATCAAACCTTATTAGCTTATCACGTTAGTAGTTATTCCTTGCTTTTCAAAAGAAGCAATGATGATGATGATGATCAATTATTCTATTTTGGTTTATTATATTATACAGATTTTATACAGATTTTAAGTTTAAATAGCATACAGATTTAATACAGATTTTAGCAGTTTCTAATACAGATAAAAGGTTCAAGGCATCTGGCAACACTGCGTTGGAAGGTCGTTCAGTTTACTTCGGTTTGGGCTTTGGGCCAATGTGCGGACGAATTTATTTTATTTTAGGCGACGGCTCCGTGGCGCAGTGGCTTAGCAATGAGTCGCTGTGCCGGGGGGCCGCGGGTTTGAATCCCGCACGGAACAAGTATTTGTATATCCTACAATTAATTGTTTCGGGTCTGGATGTGTGTCCTTGTGCAATTTATGTTTGTAAACTGCCTGCGCGATACGGGAGAAAATCCTAGTGTGGGGTTAACGTTTTTATAAAAGAATTATAAAATAATAGTGTATATTAATGGGGTTGTAAATAGATATACGATATACGATTAGCTTTATTTATTCTTTACATGCATCATAAACTGGAATAAATACCATTAATAAGAACTTAACTTATTTTAAAGTTAAAGGAGTTATAATCGATTAGTCTATGTTTTAAAATTGGGTTTTGATTTTAAAGTTTAGCAAAATATGTACTTGCATTTCTATCAGACATTTGATGTATATAAAAAACAGCTTATAATTTATTTGGTAATTTAATTATTTTTTGAGAAAGACAAAAACAATAGCAATAAATATAATTAACACTGACTTAATAATAGGTACTAATTATAACTTAGAACATAAATGAAAAACTCATGACGAGCAAAGTGGCTCAGGACCATGCTTTGCGCCAGTCTGTGGAGGAGGATGTTCAGTAGTGGACTTGTGAAGAGCTGTAATTATGATGATGATTCGAAAACTTGCACGATTAAATTATAAGAAATTGACGCGATTCGTGCTACAACAATACTTCTAATATAACTGCATGGTTCTACCACGTATAAGCGACGTGCTTCATTTTTTTTTTCATTTTAAAATTTATCTCGTAATAATCTGATTGTAAATAAATGTTCATTTTTTTTATAAATGGTTTATGGATTAAAACAAATGTTTAAAAATAATTAAATCGCGCTAATTAAAGTAGTAGGAATGTTTAAAGTGGAAATTGCACTAAAAGGCTGGTAATTGGGTCATCCACCCTACAAAGCGTGAATATAAAACTTTAATCAGATGCGTGTAATCACTCTGGGAGCTTGTAGCAGACTAATGTATTTTGATAAATTTAAAAATATTTTATAAATAATAACTATAACAATATATATTTATTTTTATAACAATAAATCTATGAATTTAGGAAACGTAGTGTATTACAGTAGTGCATTTTTTAGTGTACGGATTTACAGTTTGCACTCGAGAGTACCTAGGTTCGATTCCAGGAATATGAAGCCATATTTTCATTTTTCTTTTTTATTTTATGTTATATATTTAGATAAATTTATTAAATGCTTTTATAAATTATTACTAAAAAATACATATTTATTTTTATGACAATAAACCTATATTTGTAGTTTGCACTCGAGAGTGCCCGGGTTCGATTCCAGAAATATGATGTCAAATTTTCTTTTTTATTTATTTATTTTTTATTTTTTTTATTTCTTTTTTTATTATATATTTAAATAAACTTATTAATTACTTTTTTAAATAATAACTAAAAAAAATCGTTTAAAATGTAATGATTTTTTACAGGAGAAAGAAAGTTGAAAATACTAACAGAAGTTAGTATTTCCAATGTGTAAGTAAATACAACTTTTCTTTCTTATAATAACAACAAAAAAACTTAAAATACCTATTGTTTTTGTTAAAAGACTGCGGCTTATTGATAAATAACAAAAGGGCATGACGAAATAACAGAATCATTTGAAAATTGCGATTTTACTTATCATATGTAGGAGTTTAGGTTTATTGATTTTGTTTATAATTAGGAACTATAATTATGTATGAATGTTAGGTATTTTACTTATAGCTTAACAAGTTTTCAAAGGCAAATACAAAAAATAAACGAAATGCAAATTTTTATTACCTATCTTGTGAACCATAGAGCTGGAATATTTAGAATTGACATATCTACATAATTTGAAATATTTAATTTTTTCCATAGACTGGAAACAATACCACAAGAAAATCATCATTGTGAGATTATTGATATAAGTAAATATTATCCATCGAAGCATGTACTGGAAGAAGCCTATAGTACACAGGTAATATTCATAACATCAGCCGCACGTTGTAATGTAACATAACCTTGCCACAAACACGTTTAGTTTTAAAATTAATTTTGAAAATAATAATGGAATAATGGAATTTTAGGTGGCTAGTACTCCTGAAAGGCAATTTGATGTCCAACCTAAAAACCAAGAAACACAGTATAGAAGTAAGTTTTTCACTTTTTTATAAAGAATACATCGTTACATAGAATTCTTTTAGGTTTAAATTTCAATGTTTTATACGAACAAATATTTATCTTATTTATCAAAAAATAGTATTCATATTAATTTATTTTTCAGATGGAAAACTATACTTCTAAGAAGAACATCCAAATTAGACGGAGAATTATTAACGTTTCCCATTTTTTGGAAAAGATAAATGAGATCTCAAATCACGGACCATTAGACTGCGGACTATCTTGTATCGAATTAGTTGGCGAAAAGATTCACGGTTTATCTTCCAAATTTACTTTTTCATGCAAAATGTGTAAACGACAATTTGTGATCGATAACGACGGTGATAATTTTTTAAATATTAATACATGTGCTGTAACTGGCGCCATTTCAATCGGGTGTGGTTATTCTCAGTTACAAGAATTTTCATCAGCCATGAATTTACCAATAATGTCTCAAAAAACTTACCAAAAGAACCACAAATTGTTGTCTGTGAACTTGCAGCAACTTGCACAACAGTCCATGGACCAAGCAGCTGAAGAAGAGAGGAATATGGCTATAGCAGAAGGCAGAGTCACTAAAAATAGCACGACAATCGTAGACGTGATAGCAGACGGTGTGTATGGTAAAAGGTCATACAAAAAAATTATTCGGCTTTATCCGGTGCTGCCGTAATTATAGGTAGAAAAACAGGCAAAATTTTGTATTTGGGAGTGCGAAACAAATACTGCTACCATTGTGATCGTGCTGCGAAGAATAAAAAAAAACAATTCCTGAGCATTTCTGCTTTAAAAACTGTACTGGTCCGTCCACAGGAATGGAGAGTGATATTATTGTGGAAGGTTTTAAACAATCTTTGGCTACCCACGGTCTGATATACGGAAGACTCATATCTGACGGTGACTCAAGCACTTATTCCAAAATTTTGCAAGTAAGACCATATCAAGATATTACAGTTGAGAAGGTTGAATGCAGAAATCATTTACTGAGGAATTTTTATAATAAGATGCAATCACTTCAAACCGAAACTAAATATTTAAAAAGTCACAGAAAACTGTTAACAACATTAAGAATCATGACTATGAGATCCTGCATAAAAAAAGCAATTAAAAAGAACAAAAATGATCCCTGCCCAGAAGAGCAATATTTATTTGATGACATTTTGGAAGCACATCATCATGCTTTTGGGAATCACCTTGAATGCAAAACACATTTCTGTGATAAAACAGGAAATGTGGAGCAAAATGATATTCCAAGTGATTTTAAGCTAAGTTCTCTGTGGCAGAGAATCTGTATTATGATTCAAGGTATTGCCAGCCATGCTCGAAGTTTACTTCATGACGTGGACAGCAACGTGGTGGAACGCTATCACAGCATCATTGCGAAATATGTAGGAGGGAAGAGAGTTAAGTTTTCCCTCAAAAATTCGTATGAGACGCGATGCATTGCTTCAGCAGTGTCGTTCAATGAAGAAAATTCACTGTCAAAACTATATAAGAAAATGACCAACAAAAGCTGAAGATGTGGGAAGAAAGAAAACGTAAACAAAAAGTACTTAGTAAAAGGTATACAAAAAAGAAAAAGATGACTAGTTTTCAGCCAAAAATGCAGTGATAAGGATTATGGCCAGTCATGTGAAAAACCTGATATGCCGGTAGAAGTACTGGATAAAATGAAAAACGATTTCATGAAATCTTTAAAAAAAGACGGATGAGGAGCGAGCAATAATTGAAAGAAAAACTATTTTAAAAGGTGCTAATGGAGAATGGCTTGAGATGAGAAGTGACTCAAAGAAAATATTGCCTATTTGCCTTATGGGAGAATGAAAAAGAAAAGCTAAAGACGGAAATAATTAAACGAGATGATAATTTTTGGGAAAAAGAAATGAAAGAAAAACTATCAAAATTCTATTTCGACTGCATATTACTTGACATACTTGATCCCCAAATGTCAAGAAATATGACAATTCGTGAACCATACATAAAAAATAAAAATACGGACAAAGACAAAAGTGAAAAGAACGACAAAATTGAAAACAAAGACAAAATTGAAAACAGGGGTAAAATCGAAAAGAAAGAAAAAAGCGAAACCAAAGATAAAGATAACGACAAAATTATGCCAATCCAAAATTATGACGAAAATTATTCACAACAAATATCAACGTCTACACGTTACTTAGATTTTAGTAGATTTTAGGAACAAAAATAAATGAAAATTATTTTATAACACATTTATTTAATAATTGTATATATACGTATATAAACACATCAACAGAATCTAGGGATATTTTATATTTCATCGAATATCTAAAAATCTATGAAGAATTTTCAGATATAGTAAATGGAAAAATTATATGTTTTTTTAAGTTATCTAATATAAAATAAAAAACATTTCGTATTTTTTTTGTTTTAAATAAAAATGTAATTTTTTTTTAATCACCGTATAAAATTTGTATGATAAAAAAACTTCATATCTTCTTATAAAACTAGTATTTGTAATTAAAATTGAAAAAAATCTTATAAAATCTAATAATTAATAATCATTGTTGCCACCTCTTATTTAATTACATATCGACATCGATTGTTTATACTTAAAATTAAATTTTCAATGTCTTGCTGCAGTATGAGATACCATGTTCTTTGCAAGTGTTCGTAAAGTATTTGTTCCGTCGTCAAATTTGGCGGGAAAACACACACACACATACACACGCACACAAACACACACTCACACACAGATACACATACATATACATATATTTCTCAATTTTATATTTAATAATTTGAAAACTAGATTTTGTTATCATTGTAGTACTTACAACTGTAAGTATGTACTTATTATATACCTACTATTACAGGGATTGAGACTGTTACTCCTTAACACAGGTTATCCTTTAACCTAGCTAGGAGAACATCCACTAGATTGAATATAATATTTTATAGATAGTACATACGATGTAATGTCCTACCCATGTACTACAATCACTTTTATATAAATAAAGTTTATTACTATTATTATATAAATAAAAATGTTTTAAGTTTCATCGAATCAGTTTTATTTCAAAATCGCCCACATCCTTAAATTTTCAAGCAACATTAAAAATTAAAAATAATTTCGTTGTCCCATCTATTTCTTTGTTAGATCTTTATCCTACCTGCGTTTCGTCTATTATAACACTCCGGCGTAACCTCGCTAATCCGTTAGTGTTAAACCTCACTGTCGTTAGATGGCGCTCACATGGAATGTGTAAATGTGTGCGTGCATCTTTCGAGGTCACTTGGCTCTTGTAGTCCTCTTAAGGTTTAAGTTTTATAGATTATTAACCAGATTTTTGGTACATAATTTTTGACTATATGGCCTTGGATTTCATATAAGGAAAACACGATAACACTTAAGTTTCTCGGTAGGCTCTAATTAGGTCCTTACATTTCTCCATGACATCACAATATTTTTACGAATAAGTCCAAGAAATTATTTTAAGCTATACTTATTAAATCGACACATGCAAGGAAAAAGATCGTAACTGATTTTTATCAACTTTACAGGAGAGCGCGTCAAAGATTAAAAAAATTCTTATATAGTTCTGTTAAGTCCTAGCGCCATCTCACCGTGAAAATTTAAGTTAGCAAAGGAAAATCTACACTTTCATATCATTAATATGTTATTAATATATGTATTCTATTATTTTTTATGAGTTACAATGACATTACATGACATAAACTTTATAAAATGACATTGTAACTGAGACATACAATTCAATTTTGTGTGTTAATATTTACTTCATTAAGTGAAAAACAATGTAAGTCTGAGATACAATGCCAAACATGTATTTTTATGTGTTTTGAGTTAATGTAAGAATAAAACATTGTGATATAATTAGGAAAATCTTTATTAATTTTAACTATAAAAAATCTCAGAATGCAAGGAATAAATCATGTTGACACACCAAAACAAAGAGTCTTTCATAGTTAAGAAAATATAATAATAAAAAATGTCGTTTTGCAAATTTTGGTTAGTTCTTGCTTATGTTTTAGTATAAGCTTTATTTAATTTTCTTTTGAAATCTGTTTAAGGTACCTATCCAATCAACTTTAAGATAATCATTACAGTGAGGTCCATGAAATTCTGAATATCACCATTAATAACAAACTTTAAAATATTTAAAGAAACAAAAATTACAAATTTAAGCAATAGAAAGTATTACAATTATTACTCTATAAACAATCACAAGTCTTTGCAATCTCTAACCAACTATCTAAAATCAGTTTATCTATTAATAAAATAAATTCAAAAAATATCTAGAAAGAACCATTTGAAATTTAAGGAAAAATAATTATTAAAAAAGAAATGTCATTGATTATGTACATCAAAGACTTTTCTTTTTTTAAATTTTAAATGTTTGATTTTGTAAGATACTTTAAAATGTTTAGTATGCATACAATATAGTAATTATATTGTATGCATACTTAATATTCGATTATATATAACTTACTAAAATATACATAATAGTTTTAAAATACAATACTTCTTAATCAGAATCAGTGATATTATTTGGTAGAATCGTTTTCACATGAGGTAAATTTATAAAATAATCATGATATATTGTTGGAATGGCATTGCTATTACATAAGCTTAATTAATCTTTGTACTTTGCTGTAGATAAAGGCAAAGGTGCATTAAAAGCCTTTGAAATCGGTAGCTCTTGTTCACTGTTTTGAGGTTCCTTGGTAGCGCGACGAGTAACTGCCTGAAGAAATCTAAATATCTTGAGCTAGAGTTATAGCCATTTCATTGTCGCTCAGATAATCATATTGAAATTTAATTATATTAGGTAAGCTACTGATAAAATTAATATGCATAATTTTACTCCAGGAGACCTTCACATGGTTAACGTCGTGTTCGCAATTTTTGTAACATGACAAAAGTTGTTTAAAATCCAATATATTATCTTGGTTTACTTCCTTGACTTCATACGGCTCACCACTAGATTTAGCGCATCTTATCAAAGTCACCCATTGCTGAGGTACGTAGATAAATTTATGTATTTTTCCTTCGCTCAATAAGTGCATACATCGCATTACCCTCTGATTGTGAATGTCCAACTTCAAAGAAGTAATGATTTATATTTATATTAAATATTCTGCTAGCATATTCATACATTGCGAATACTGTCCTATTTTTATTCTGACCGCCACAGCTATCAGAATAAAAATTAAACTCCTTGTATCCTTCCTGAACCCTAGTTTTTATGAAGTCCAATACAAAACTACTTATTTCGTTAGATCCTTTGCGTCTGATCGTCTCGTCCCACAAGTAGCAATACCCTTTATCTTTACCCACATCATAGATCGTGAAGTTATATGTAGCAAGTTTTCTTTTGTAGTAAAATACGGACACTTCTGAATGAGGAGTATTCAAAATTTTTTTGTAAATCATAACAAGCTGTTACAACAGAATCAGAGTGTTTAGCTCGGTGTTTGTCACTATCTTTTAAAGACCTGACCACATTTTTGTTTGCAATATGTAAAGCGTACTCATACTCTAGCTTAGTTTTGTCAGTCTCAGTTGAATTTTTAAATAAATCACACCTTGGACATTGGTCTTTTTTTGGTTTGTTAAAGTCTATATTAAAATCTGTCTTAAATATCTCCCTATACTGTCTTGAAGTCGCAACGACCTGATCGGAATGTTTTTCATTCATCCATTCCAAATAAAGTTTGTAGAGTATTGGAAAGTTCAGTTGTTCATCCAGATACTGTTTAGATGTTCTGTTTCTCACATAGTGTGAGTCTACTAATGGCATTTGTGAAATATGATCTCTAACAGATTGTTTGACTTGATCTGGAACGGCATTTTTGCGCGTGCCGTGTAGTACCTGTAGCACTTATCAATTTTTTTAAATAAAGTCTGCAACCACATGTCGCTTATAGAGAGGGTGTTTAAAAACATCGTCTTACATGTTCGTATTTCTTGACCTTCTATAAACAAATTGTATTCAAAAGACCACTTGCGCCTACTGGATGAGGCCGAGGCGGCAATAACTTGTTTTTTTGGGACTCTTCTAACAAATCGGCTAATATAATCCATTTGTTTATTATGATTCGCCAGTTCCCAGAAGATTTTAAGTATTAAATTTCTCTGGTTTTCTGTGATTGCTTCTCGACATTTACGTGAACAATTAGCACCACAGTCTGGTTTCATAATTTTTTTCGCTATTAACTGCCCTATTCTATTTATAAATTACTCGCCCAAATTTTTCTTTCGTTTACATATTTCAGCCTTCCAATTTTCTTTATTCAAAAATCTCTTCCTTCCTGGTTTAACTTTCTTCGGATATTTCTTTTTTCTTTAGCATTAATGTGTGATGAAATTCTAGGCTCTTCTGCGTTAGTTTGACTTCCAATCCCTATTACATTACTTTGTTCTTTAGAGGTTCGTATTCCAGTTTCTATTGTATCAATCATGTAGAACGTAATTAACACAAACCTAACATACTTCAAGTTCAGGTTCATACGTAATTTT